ATGGAAATATTTTCAAAGACAAGACCATCCTGGGCCACCTACTTTCAGTCTTCCTCATCAAACATACTGTCTGGAAGCTGTACTTAATATAGCCCTGAAGTACTCGATGAGTCTCATTGCTAATGTCCAAGAACATGTTATATGTAATCTCCCAATGCTTGTTGAGCGCAAGCTTCTTAAGAGTATTGTGCTTTGCTTCGTAAAAAAAAAATCGCATTTTCAGTGTGCCCTACCATAAAGTCCAAATCTAAAGTTTGCATATACATATGCCTAACACGTAGAAAGGAAGTCGTTACTTCCTTACAATTTATTGTCAATCCGGAATGTGTAACATGTATGCATTTTTAAAAGGAAAAGGATCACAGATCACACAGGTATAGGTCAGTAAACTCAGCAGAAGTTCGGTTATCAACACTTGGTCAGCAAAGCCAACCATCATCCTTATTGATCTCGGTGTGCCCAATGCATATTGAACACTTTGCAAGAGCGAGGGTTAATAACTGGCACCAGTAAGCATCATCCTCAGGAATTTGGAGAGCCAATCATTAGTGGTAGTAACAACGCCAGTGTACCATGATTGTGACTGGCTATAAATTGTTTACAATCTATAAAAAATGACGTAATAATAGAACCGTTCCCAAATTCTTTGTCAATAATGATTAATAATTCAGAGTTTGATCGAAATATGTGCAAATAGCTGGGCGAAGAGGTAAAATCGGTTCACATGTATCCTGAACTCTGGAGGGGCTCCGTAGCCGCGCTACATCTAACGGCGGGGCTCTCCCGGGGAAAAAATTGGGGAGAATCAAAATTAAGCATTGGGTCAAAAAAACCAGTGGTAACGGTGTGCCGTAATATGGGTGTACATGGTGGGGGAAAAAAGGATCTCATGAAGCCAAGTGAGGCGAGAAAAAATAGGTGAGTAAAGGGTTAAGACAAAGGCTAGTAAGGCAGGGGTACTATGCAATACACCCAATCAAGAAGGCTATAATGAAACGCTGGGGGGGGAAAGAACACTGAAGCAAAAAATCTACGGAGAGCGTAGTGTGAACCACTGCAGACATTGTCAATTTTACCAAGGCTCTAACAGGAGGAGAGGGTGATCATCGTTCTTGAGTTACGAGGGGGTTGCTGCTCCATCGTTAGATTTGCAGGCGACAACCCCGCCCAAGAGGCTTTATCGTGCAGTTTAGAACTTTTTCCCCCCCCCCTATTGATAAACGACCCGTAGGTCCCGTTTTCTACCATTGTACATGTTGGCCAGGTGTGCAATCCATGGTCCTCAGGTTGAAGTAATCCTCCCTAACCTGTGTTTTCTATTCAACTACACTATTAGAAAAAATGAATGTAATCTAGTATTCCTACCTCTCGTTTCATCTCCTCTTTTCTGTACCCAAGACTGCGCGACAATGCCGATAAGCACCTACTGCTCCTCCTTGAAACCCTCACGCACTGCTTGCTGGGGTTGTCTCAGATTACCAGTGCTAGATGAGACCATAGTATGTGTTTGTTCGGGCAACCATTCACAACAAAAATATGACCCTGTCCCCCTCCTGCAGTTTTGCGGATATTATGAGGTTATCTTGACAGGGATTTCAACTCTACTCACGAGCTTCTTAATCTATCATAACTATTGGAATACAAACTGCATGTAAAGAATATTTCTTGTTAGGCTGGTTTTGGGGGGGGGGCAGAGTGCAAGCAGTTGATATATTTCAGCTTGCACCTTACTTCCGGGTGTACGTTGCCAAGAGGCAGTAAAATCTACCTGTCAACAACAGAGGAATGTAATCTATAGAACCTGCAATATTTCCTTAATACAGTCTGTGCTTCTTTGAGTTTGATCCAATGGATTGCAACATTTCCACATCATCATAGTAAAACACATATTTGAAAGCCCACGCAAGACACCAAAGATAGAGAGTGTGAACTAAGTAGGACCCATCAAAAAAGTCACTTAGGCCTCTGTGAATTATTCTTATGACCTCCTCTCCCACCTATATAAAATTAGTATAATCTATAAACCAAAACGTATAATCAGAGAAACTAATCACACACATGGTGTAGTTCAATACCTCAGATTAATAACATTCTCATTTGTCGAAAGAAGCCGCAGACGTTTGCAGATGGGGATTTAGACAAAACCTTCTTCTTTTCTTTTTTCAAACAACCTACCTTAGAAGAACCCCATAACCCTGAGGTTTCGCCTTTTGTTCGCCAAGGTGACTTCACCGGATCCTGTGTAGTAGGTATTAATTAGGACATGAGAGAAAATTACAAAATCACTTACCTGAAATTGAAATTCCCTTCGGAAGAATGCATAGTTGTTGCTGTTTCGTCTTGAGTCCTTCAAACACTCCTGGAGAACTGTTAGGAGCTGATCGATGCCCCCTCAGCACTTCCTGCGGTGCACCAACACTTTTGCAAATTGTAAGGTATTCGTGTAGACATGTGGGGGTGTTTGCAATATCAAAGAGTGACTGAACATCATAACCAATAGCCTCCATGCGTGATAATGGAACTTTTGTCGGCTTTTCATTCACGGGCTTTTAGTACTCATAACTACTGCCGCTGCATACAACTGCTTGCCTGCTTGCTGACAGTTGTTTTCAGATAACCTGTGGATGGTACAAAATAAATCTATCATAAGTCTTTCAGTTCTTATTTCAAAACCTTCCAAGTTGGTCTGCTGCTTCTGATTGGACACACACCTCCACCATCAGTTTCTTTTCACACCACAGTCTCCTCCTCAGCTATTACTATGGCTCCTCCTGCTCAATGCATTTCATGACCTGTCCCGTTTCCGTTCACATCAATGAGAGCATATCTTGTGGTTTTCAAATGTCTCAAATTTCGAAATGTTCGGCCTACATCCTTCGACAAATTCGCACAATTGTAAAATCATCTTTATCTTAATGCTCAGCGAACGTGACGCAGCACATTGCTTCAGTCGTGCTGAATGAAGATAGCTGGCCAGCATGGACAATAAGCATCGTCTTTGGCTCGTGCTTCTCACTTGCCTCTTGCGCTGCTTATGTTTTCATAACGATAGCTACCTATGCCTACGTTTCCTGGGTGACGTTCAAGCCCCCCGTTAGTTAGGCCTCGGTCCACCGCAACTGTTTCAGCGATAACCTAGGAGATTCGATGAATCGCCTGCATTCCGTGTGCCATATACGGCGCCTCCAGGGACAACCTGACTTCTCTCTCGTAGCTAGCCTGGCCCATGAACTATGCAGCAATGACCTTATGTCATCCCATCCTGCAACGCCCACCCCGTGGGCGTTCGTGAGAGCGTGTTCGCCTCGCATTTCAACATGCAGTTGAAGTAGACTATTGCTCGATGGCTCGCGTGTCTGGCGACTCTGGCTACCGTATTAAAGGCTGTCTGGAGCCCAGACCGCCATCATACTAACCATGGCGTCGAAGGCCGCGATAGAAGATTTCGCAGTGTAGAAGAACTGTGGCTGATTTTGCTCGCGTCAGACGGAATGTCTCCGAAGAGGCCTGCAAAATTTTCAGACAAAAAGCTTAATATGTGCTCTAAAACTTCTCCCTCTACCTTTTCTTTTCTTCTTTTTCCTTTTTCTTGACGCTGGACGCACTGATCTGAAACGTGGCGTGCGTGTTTCCACTCATAGGAGATAGAAAAGCGGTGCAGAAGCTTATAGTGTCGTACCACCCCATCAAAGAAAACGTAAGGACTGATCATAGCTATACGTAGCTGCTAAGATTGCACTGAATTGTTTTAGGCTCCAGCTACTCCCAGCCCAGTATCACTGCCAGCAGCAGCAGCAGCACCAGCGATGGGTACTACAGCCTGGGTTATTGCTTGTGTTCCCGACGTTTTCTCCAGACGGACGCGTGAGGGAATAGAGAAAGGAGTGATTACGAGGGGCCAGCGTGTAGAGATTATCAATGTTCTCGCCCACCGTATACTAGCACACACTGAATTTCCCTCGTCAGCTGAGTATAGTGCAGTTTGTCAAGCCCTCATAACCAAATATCCCACACTGAAGGATACTATCGGAAATGGCTATGTGAGTACTCAGTCAATACAATATTTCGTTGCTCTAATTACACTTGTTATTAATATGAAGGGGTCTTGGAAAATACAACTCCGAAATAAATTCAAAAATTTCAGGAGAAAGTCCATACCACCATCTTCCTCTTCATCACAGTCAAAGCAGGTTAGTATTAAAAAAAATCAGCAAACGTCAAACGTTAAACTAATAACTTTGTACTTAGTGTGACCCCAGTACCAGTATGGCAGTAGAGGAGAGGGCAGATCAGCACGGTACGGCTGAAAGTGAGTCATGAATTAATATGTACTTTTTTCTATAATTATCAAGTTCAATGCTTTCAGATGTTGATATTTCTTCATATGAAGAGGATATTAAAAGGCTAGGAGATGAGTGGCAAAAGCCTAAAGCCGAGTTTTAAAAATATTAAGGAAATAATGAGAACCTGTTTTGAAGGTAAGATTAATTTAATATTATGCAATTTGATTGCAATCTTCAAATTTCCTCCAGGTAGACGAGAATGGATTTTGAATAGTTCTCCTTCAGTTGAAGACATCGTTGATAAGTTCCCTCCTCTCAAAAAATTGAAATATGTATGCACTTTGATTAATCATTTTCTATCAGTAATTATGTATTTTTCTAATGCAGTTAGAAAAAGAATTGGCCATGATTACAAAGAGTGAGGAGTGGGATATAAAAGTTGCTGAAAAAAATTGCCAGGACTTATCTGCCAAGATTGGTATCTTTGCAGAGTTGGAGTCACAAACCAACTGGATACTAAGGGATGCCCTTTCAAAGCAGCAGGAAGAAGTAAATTCATTTCCTCCTGATGCAGATGGTGAGCATACACATATATACTATACTGTACACTTCCTTCTCATATTTCAAGTTGGTCAAGTGAGTGTGAAAAGATAATTTATATGCCAGTATGTATAGTGGTATTGGAGGTAACCAGTGCATCGTTCTTTCCACTTCCCAGGATTACACCTGCTTCAAATGATCCATTGTTTGGAGCTTACTGAGCTTTTGCTTGCCCCTCGAGCAAAAATATCACTTGTGCATCGTTTCTCTGTAAGTCAACATAAATAATATCATGTACATCACTATGGACGAATTGTTGTTATATTATATAGAATGAGCCTGACCTTGATGAGGCTGTGAAGAAAATCGCAGAAAACCATGTTTACATCTGTGTGGTTAATTCCGACTCATCAATTCAAGTTCATTTAACTGCTGAGAGATGCCTGTTTGGAAAGGCAAAGAGTCCAATAAATGTAATAGTTAGTTTAATTGGGGCATATTTTGCTTTTAATATCGCTTACCCTAAAGCACTCTATCAACTTTGTATATTTATCCAACATTTTTTTATTAAGAATTGTAGACAAGCAAAAGGTACCAGAAATAGTTAAAAGGACTCTAGCATCATTAGATAATATTAAACATTAGCAATTTTCTTATTTTTTTCCTTTTTTATATCTTATGCTCTTTATTGTATCATTGCTCTTTGTATCTCATGCTCTTTTACTGTGAAAAAGTTTTTTGTCACTTCAAGAGTAAGAGCAATGGCGCTACTGCAACAATGAACAGCGCTGCTAGAGCACCAACTGCGTGTTGTCGAACACCCTATGAAGAATTGAAGCAGCACCTAAAGCATGTTTATGAACACCCCAAAGGGTGTATTGTAGCATCAATAGAAAGGCTAAATAGCACTCTTATGGGTGTCCATTGCCCCAGAAAGGGTGTTCCTGTACACTCTTATGGGTGTACATTGCCCCAGAAAGGGTGTTCCTGTACACTCTTATGGGTGTACATCACCCCAGAAAGGGTGTTCCTGTACACTCTATGGGTGTCCATTGCCCCAGAAAGGGTGTTCCTGTACACTCTATGGGTGTCCATTGCCCCAGAAAGGGTGTTCCTGTACACTCTATGGGTGTCCATTGCCCCAGAAAGGGTGTTCCTGTACACTCTTATGGGTGTCCATTGCCCCAGAAAGGGTGTTCCTGTACACTCTATGGGTGATGCTTAACACCCCACCCTAACACCCCAAGGGTGCCAAACTGGCACAGTCCCACGGGCGCCCCAAAAGGTGTTGCTGTAACACCCCATTTTTAACAGTGTAGTAGCTACCCTAACCCAGCTTGCACAAATGGCCAAAAAGTCCAAGTAAGCCAATGTTTTGCTCAAAAAGGGTTAGCTTTCCTAATAATATGTTGCAAACTGCTTCGTTACTACAAAACAGAACACGATTACCGTCTTAAGTTTACTGTCCGTGAGTAACCATGACACACTGTAAATCATGAGGTAGCTAGAAAGGCAAAGGCACAACAAACATTGCAGACATCAAGTTTCATCTAGTATAAAGGAAGCCAAGGGGCCAATTAAGCACTTTTGCAGGATTTCTGTTCCGTCTCATGCAGGAACACTTATTATCTTTTCACATCACTACATCCACCTTCATTTGATTGTCCACATGCTCACACCAAGAAAGTAAGAAAGTTGCACACATAAATGAAAAACGGAGGTAGAGAATCAGCCAGAGTGGACAAGTGGCCGGTATGACTCGCTATATCCGTGCTGCATGCCGAGACGACGCACAATCACATCAAGCGATCAATGAATACGATTAGGTGTGTCTCGCCCCCTCTACTTCATGGGACTACACACTTGTCATAAGTCATATCGCGGAGTTTGGCTACTTTCCTTGACAACAGCTCGTCCCTGCTCTCTTGTAAGAATAATTTATTTATCTATCAGCATGAGCTAATCTGCAGCTGGCGGTTGGTCATAGGCCTACGCAGAGCTACGCATGCCAGCTCGAGGGGCGTTTAGTACTTAGCTACTGCCCACACTAGTTCTTGCAGTATATTGAAAGCTACCCACACTCAGCTCACAACAGTGCATGCCCAATGGCATTATAGCTGCGTGAACTCAACTCGTGGATTTTCATGCCCTTTGACGTTTGGCCGGACTGTATACTAACTGCAAGGTGTTTGACATAATATGGACCTCATACCCCAGATAAATCGACAGCCGTAGACATTACAATCATGGGCTCTTGTTGCTCAAAGGCATCCCCTGCTCCTAAGATTTGCCCACTAAGAAATGGTAGCTAATGAAAAGTTCACCTAATTATACTGCAGGAACAGGGTGTAGAGATGGATCAAGACATACCAACTTCACATGGCACAGAAGCTCAGCAGATGCCAGCTTCCTCACCCGAAGTAAGACAAATATATACTAGATTAACAAACTGCTTCCCGTGCTTGATTTTGCATACATAGTTCATAGTTGTAAGTTTGGATATGCAAGCCTGTCACACCCCCATATTCACATTTTACCTTTTAGGAGGACATTCGACGGTTATAGCTATCAGGCATTTTAAAGGCATAGCGCAAGTTATTGTAAGGATGATTGGTAATCAAATCTAGCAAATGTGTGATTTGCTGCAATCACGTAGATATCATTGGATAAACCTGTTAGCTATCATCATTTTCACATAATATCATTATTTTGTCAGCTGATGGGTTACTCTTGAATTTGCAGGCTCTACAACAGTTACGGGAGAGTCTTAAACCCAAGTTTGAAAGTGTGGATACAGATGGAGGAACGCCTATTGTGTTTGAGCTACCCAATGGAGAAAAACTCAGATACAATTCTGATATGTCCTGTTCAATCAAGGTACGCAATGTATAAGCTACATCGTAGCATCCATTAACCCTTAAGGTCACCATGGGTTTCATTTTCATGTAGATGGATATTTCACCGTTTTAACTCCAACAAATTACCAAGTACAGATAAAGCTGGGAAATAAATATTTGACTGTCAAAGAAAAAAATAATACAGTCAACACTCCTAAATTCTGTGAGGTAAGGAGCATATTATCACGTCAGTTTTATTATAACAAATTTCATGGGCAAACTTAGCAGGCCAATCCCTCACATGAGAGAGGGTTGGCAGTTTGGTCATAGTCTATATAGTGTCTCACACTGGCTGTGTAGCCAGTGGAACTTGGCCTACTGTACTTTCGACATTGTGTGCAAACATTTGGTGTCGTAGTACTGCCTTTGCTTTGATTATCGAAAAACCAACTGCACTGCCTTTGCTTTGTTTTGAAACACCAGCCCTCTCTGCGCATGCACACCGAGTAAGGTCCGGAAACGATCAACCACCCTGAAATCATGTGAAACCTAAAGATCAGTGCTCCCTCTGCAGTATAGTGGTATGATTATGTGCTTCAAACAAAGTTGCTCTTTTTCTGCAGAGCAAAACTCCTTCAGGAAACACCATCTACCATCAAGTATTCTATTCCTGTGGCTCTCAAACCTCATTTTCCCTCAGTTTGGAGACTCAGGAGCCAAAAACCTACTATTTTACTCCGAAGAGCGGTAAAATAGAAATAGAAGACACACGAAGAAATCTGGCAATATTTTCCCAAAACTTCTCGTAAAGTAATCAAAAACCATGGAAACAGAGATACTGATTTGTAACTATTGTGTGCTATTACACTGAAGTGCTTATGAAGACAAACTTTGATAATAATAATATATCGAATTTAGACTATGCAGTCTGCCCTACTAATACACTACCAAAAGGCAGACAAGTGGGAGTGAAATAGTGTCAGAGAAATACATTATAGTTCCTTACACAATGCATGACATATGTGCATCCTACTGCATACCTACCAACCATCCAGCTTTTGCTTGATAATCAGCCAAATCATGCCCATATATTTTGAATGGACACACAGCAATTTCAAGCAAAGGTTTATCTGCAGGTTTGTAGGTATGCTACTCTGATGTGCGAGTATGTGAACTATGACACCACACATACACTAATTGCAGTAGGCTCACTCTCACTGACCAAAATATTTTCACAGTATGAAATTCTGACCGTTGCTATGTTAACTTTTGCCGGCCTTACCCACTATCAAATCCACTGAGACCATGAGACTAAGTATATCAACCATTTACTTAGCTATAATACGTCAACTATTATAGCAAGAGTACATTACAAGACAAAAACAGTGTAGCTACGATATACCAAAGAATATGCTGACCTCTTCCAACGACAAATTATAACTGCAGCCACCAATTATTATTATCTTGTCAGCGTTCGCACAATTCGTCTTCAAAAACACTTTTTTACCGGACAATTTTAGTTGTTTGCTTTGCCTTTGCCTTGCTACCTCACCTTGTAGTTTACACGTACAACGAATGCAGCTCTTGTGGGTGATATAAGTAGTAGTTATACCATACACCAATGCAATAATAAAACTTGGGACGGAGTGATGGTGTTTAACTAACTGCACCCAATAATCATCCATGCATAATAATCACAATAGAGAGTGTGGGTGTTGTCTGCGGAGTGCAATCCTGAGTTTGTGTGTCCAGTTGGGGTCCTCCAGAGAGAGGGGATGGAGGGTTGAGATGGTGGACGGGAGTTCTCTGCACCCACCACACAGAATGGGGATAAGTAGTCCTGCCCCTCCCGTTGACGACTGCTGTAGCACGTGCTGGAGCTCATACTTGCACCACTCAGTCAGCTGGTAGTCTGGGGCTATGACGGCCACCCACTTTATCAGCCGACTGCAGTAGGCGGAGTCTCTCCTCAGAGACCACACCCCCTGGGATCATGTGAGCTTCGTGGTCGGTGACTCTGATTGGTTGGTAGGAGTGAAGCAGAGGGAGCAGTGTTCCCTGCACCCAGTCTGCCTGGGAATTAGAGTAGCTCACATAGACACACACTTCATACGAGGATGGGAGAGGCTCAGACGCTGCAGTACGTCTACTGAAATTAATCATCGCAATATCCTGCACAGGGATTGAAACAGCTGCCTTAGGAACAGGGACATGGGGGGATATTATGCATCTACCTCCACTTCACAATTTGAACTCTCAGAATCCTCATTGGCTGCGTGCAGGAGCTTGTGCTGGGTCACATAGGGATGTGAGGCTAGCAGGGGAAACTGTGGCGTGGCAGTAGTTGGAGTACTGCAGGTACTGGAAGGAACGGCTTGAGGAGCTGAAAAGATAAGTGACTCGGATATACTAAAGTTGAGACATGCTTACTTTGTTCGCGTTGTAACTGATAACCGAACTTTGTCATTGAAAACCGTCTCCATTTCCACCAGAGTAGGATGGCTAACACCACCACTAATACTATCAGGGGGAGAGTAAGTACAGCCAAAACACTGAGGTCTGGATGAGTAGGGGAGTATAGTGGCACAATAGAGGCTGGTAGGACAGTGAGTGTGGCTGTTCGGGCCCACTGAGTGACACCACTAGAGGCCTGAGCACAGACCACCTCTGCTCCAGACATGGAGAGGTTGACACTGGGCCATGTAGCTCTCAAGTAATGTGTACCATACAGAAAAGTCGGGATGATATCAAGACCAGAGCAACTTCCATTTCCACTCAGAGATAGTGGCAGCAAAGATGCGTTTGTAGAAAAGGTGTAATTTGTACATTCGGTAAGGCTGTAGGGTGGAACTTTGACTAGAAAGGCAACAGTGAACGTTTTGTCTTTAGTTGTTTTGGCGCTGCAGTGGAAGTCAGCCTGATGGCCTTCAACCACTGACACATCTGCTGGAAGACTGTCATTAGGCAACAGGGCAGGAACTGCAGTCAGAAACTAACAATAGAGTAATAGAATGTTAGCTATGTATATACCTCCATAAAAATTGATTGACACACATAGGGTGGAGGTGCGATCTGAAGTGGTTCCAGATAAAACCAGGTAAGCTTCTGCAGTTTCAGGACTTGAAGACTCTCCTACTAAGACCAGGTTATAGAAGTCAACGTGAGCAGTCTGAATGAGTATATAGGAGAGAGATGGGGGAGGGGATAGGAGGGTGAAGAGAGAGAGCCCTCAACATGTGGTGAAGTGGAAATGTCTTACATGTGAAATGGTATTGTTAAAGGCTGAGTCACTGCTGAGGGATGGGTCAATGTCAACAGGATAGTGATTGACCCATTGGATATCCAGACTGAGAGACACAGGGCGAGCTCCCAGTACATTGAATGAGATGTCGTGAGCAGTGCTCTTATCCTCTTGAACCCTCCAAGTCTTCACTAAGCTCTTGGCCACGCTGCAACTAAAGTCACCGACTATTGGTCGGCAATCCTGGGCAAACAAGTCGCCTTCATTGTCGGAGTCGGCACCAGGTATGACGTACACTGTCTCTGAATTATTGACAGACATGGTATCTAATACTATACTCAGAACTTGTTTCTTCTACTTACTTCCTACCAGGACGGAGCGGTTAGCAGAGGAAGTTCCATTGCTTTTCCATCTGCAGTCGTACAAACCACTCTCGAGGGACGTAGCGAAGGACCAAGACACCGTGTGGCTGCTGAGGTTCTGCCCGTCTCTAAACAGTACCAGCTCGTTGGCCGCAGCACTATCCCAATCTTCACTAGGCGCGCGACACGTTATGCGCAGTTCCAGTCCGACGGAAACCAGGCAATCTTTAGAGCTATCCTGATCGATGTGTCTACTTGGAGGTGGATCGTCTTGTCGCCTGATCCTGCTCTCCCCTCCAAGGATGGCGCACTCCAGTGAGACATAGTAGGGAGCATTTTCATTTCCACAGTTCTCGCCACCGACGGCCCTCGCGACAATTATTAGGAGAGCTGGAAAAACAAGTGCCAGAGACATGTTTACTCCACAATGGTGTTGACGCAAAAAGGAATGCTATAATAGTCGTGCGAAATTTCGGCGCATGCGTAGAACCCTCACGCCACCTAACTAATGAAAGGCACTGAAGTGCTAAACCCTCGGCGAAATTTCGGCGCATGCGTAGAACCCTCACGCCACCTAACTAATGAAAGGCACTGAAGTGCTAAACCCTCGGCGTGGAGTCCCACAGTGGGGCTATGACGCCAATACACGTTTTATCAAACATAATAATGTGTGGTCCGGGTTGGTGTCGCCTTTTGGCCTGTTTGTTGCGCGTGGTGGCAGAAAACGTGGTAACAGACAGACAGACAGACAGACACGGAGAACGACTACCGTAACCCTCGCTGCGCATGCGCGCCGCCGAGGGTTAACTACTGATGATGACGATGATGGCGCAGGTCACGTGATCACGTTATGACAGTAAATGCATGAAAAACCATCCCTTTTTTCTGGCCATTGGAATTTATAGTCTCTGTGGGTTTGTAGACCTTTGCTGTGAACTAAACCAGTATTCCTTCCGTTAGAAACATCCCGTTCACTGATGCAGCTTGGTGGTTGGGTTGATCTTTGCACTTTACGCAGATAAATACATTATACTGAGGAACAGTAATCATCAGGTGCTAATTTTCACAGCTGACCAGCAGCCAGAATATTGTATTTGTCCGTTCGTGAAGACAGTACAGGAAGCATATGATATAGAACCGATGCTTGAGTTCCACATTAGAGGTATATAACTAACGTAAACCTTATACACCATCACATGTGACTCTTCTTTCATGCAGAGTGATGTTACATGGCACCAGAGTTTTGATATTTGCGACGGAGCCTCTTTCACGGCCCTTTGAGTTTAAAAAACACACGAATCCAAATGAGACTGTGTGGATCACACTTCCTTCGCCTATCAACAAAACAATCTGGGGGAAATCGTAACAAGTGAAATTCAGGGCTCACAGCTTTTCTACATTTGTTGAGTCATCAGACAAAACAAGGGCATAATAATTATAAGTGAATTGGAGTTGTAGTCACGGTTATAAAACATGGCTCATGTACTAACAGAATTTGTCTTTTCTTTGCTGGCATGTCTATCTGGCACAAGGCTAAGCATTTTAGACTATGTTGCAACTCTGTAAGAGCCATGACGTTGAGTGTTTCCAAACAAGCACTGAAACCACTGTCTAAGCTTCTACATTCAGCACTGCACCATGGATAGTGTACTACAGTCTACTCTCTGGCATTCTTCCCACACCGCCACACCAAGTTAGCCATCTTGTGACCTAGTCGATTACCTTTAGAAACGACAAGATTGTCCCCCTCATATCTATTATTAGCAAGCCTGACAGACTGCTCCCACACTATAATATCCTTTCTGAGATGTGTAACGGTTTCCGTGTTGAAAAGCGTTCCAATTTTGAAACATCCGCATTCCTGCTGTGTCGTCAATGCCGGATACAAGACCTGTAATTTGCCTTTTCCGGTAGCGCCCACGCGAAGCATGCCGCCCACTCGACGGCGCAAGGATCTAGGAATATGTGTCGATCGCTTAGGAAACAGAGAAGCCTTATAAAAATTCAGGTTAACCGCGCACACATACTGAGATCAAGTACCGTGAGATCGTGGAAAATCCCGAGCGACTAGACTCCAATCTGGACGGAAATGCGGCGGCTCCTAGTATAAAAACCGTTCCGTGACAGGCTCAAACTCAAGGAACCGCTCTGCAAGATCAACTCAGCGAAGAAAATTCTCAACAACGCAATCCCCAAAGAAGCAGCTCTACTGGACTCATTATGGACAACTACTGTTTCTTCAGAAACACTCCTGATAAGGTGATCATCATGGGTGTAGTTGACTTGTTTGCTTTGCCTTGCCTTTCTACCCCGTTACCTCACATGCCGTTGCGACTATTATAGTCAGCTGTTCTCTAACAATAGCGTTTTTCTCCTGCAGTGTCCAACAACCCCCACGCAAGTCAATCAGACGACTCTTGGGCAGTGCACCTGTCAGTGTACTTGTCGCACTAATCCCCGCACCAATCTGGATCCCGAAGGACCTGTGAGTGTGATCGGCACTCTGGTGATCTAGTCGTCATTCCAGGCGTTCCTGACCCTGGCATCACTACTCGCTTTGGTAATCCGCTACAACGGATTCTAGTTGTGACGACGAACGAATTCGACGAGGAAGTGCTGCGGGTCACGTACGACGACAACGGTGCCAACAACCAGTGGGGCTTTCATGAAGGGGGTGGCAGTATTCATGTTACAGGTATGTATTCGTCCCATTGACTTATATATAGGGCAGACAAGGATTACAGTCAGAGAAATTTAGCTAGCTGGGTAAAATAATGTATTGACTAACTACCTATAGAGAGGGCTTTATTGCCACGAGTCTGACTTTGAGCACGAGCTCTATTATACTAACGTTCATTGGTTGCATATTTATCTATTGGGGGTGGATGTGCAGAGATGTGCATTATTAGCGAGTTAGAGACAGCCTCTGATGCTCAAACTAGCAAGGCAGTTGGTGTCTTGTTCAACTTCCTGTGATCAAGCAGAGAGAAGTTGAAGAGTTTGTGCAGGGGGCTACTCATAATGGCTTTACGGTACCATGTGCATATATACCTGTTGGAACTACTATGGTATAGTAATACTATGCATGGTTTCTGTCTTATCCAAATGCAGAACTGTTCAGAACTCCTGGTTTAGGCGGCTTATTAGTTGAGATTATGGGGGTCACCCCGCCGTCTTTCCCAGAGGTCAAATGGCGTCTGACTGTCAGTGAGGACGAAGGAGTACCTGACAGATTCCTATATTCTTGCCAGAGGAACCTGAGAGGTATACATGATGCATCCTCTGATAGAGACCTCGCTTTAAGGCCTCGCCTATGTGCGTTCTGACATTGCTTATAATCAGGGCCATTTTAAACCTGCAAAAATTAGCATAGGTACCCGTCTACATGTTCCTTGTTCCTTGCACTATCACTAATATGCTTATTATAACAAAGCAACTTCTTACAGCATCCTTTTTTGCTCAGCATGTGGGCTGTTCATAATCCACTTGTATTTTTTCGTTAGGGTGTAAACCCACAACTGCACACCCAGTTCAATATGGAGGTGGATCAAAATACGGGGCGAACTGCTTTTAGCTTCACCACAACACAAGGTGAAACCCCCAGAAAATACTACCTCGTCCCGTCAGTTGAGGATGGAGTCCGATACATTGAGACAAAGGAGACTAATGACCCTGAACACGTCTTCCAAACTCTAAGCAACAGAAGTAACCTCACTATTATTTCCTCGAGTAACACCATAACTACTGCAACAGAAGCACTTGAGGTGGAAAACTATGATGTAGCATTATACACTCAAGACAAAGCATAAATTAAACATCACTATTTTACCCTTTTGCGATTATTAAATTGCTGTCATTTTGCTAACAATTTTTTGTATCCTGGTCTCAGTGTCGTCAGCACAACAGAGCAATGTGCGGGCAGAACATGAATTACTATAATTATACTTACTATTAAACTCAGTATGATTACTATTATACTCAGTATTGAGGGGAGGTTCTCACAAGATAGCGAAAGATCTGCACTTGTCATCACAGGTGCAGGTGGGAGCATTAATTTTGTGCACATGCGCAAAGTTACCAAAAATGACACTGTTGTTATTATTATACGAACTAAATAGGGCTAACAGCGTTTACCGCGAGGGAGTATACGTTATAGTCTCGTGGGCCATATTATTTTTCGCACATGTGTCGAGGCACGTCTGAGTCCATACGTCATCTCTTGGTATCTTGATGAATTTATTGTGTACATGTACATAGCTAGCTATCAACATTGGCTTCTTGGCATCTCAAAGAGCTCCTTTTTTGAAACCCCCAAGCCAAATTAATGGGTTTCAGGGATAACAATACTGTAGTACTAAAGAAATGAAACGCACTGAAGTGCAAACCCTCGGCGAACTGCGCATGCGCGGTATATTAGTATGCGTTTACTCGCCGTCTCCCGCTAGCATATAGCTCGCAGAGAGTCTGACACGGGCTAGCTACAGTAGTAGATAGCATGCGAGAGTCGATACACATCCTTCGTTGTGACTTCTTGTGCCTTCAAAATACACAGAGCAAGCAGACCCGGTCCTGTGCTAAATATAAGCGCATGCGAATTATCCGCAGCGATAAAAATGGCCGACTACGTATTAGCCGTACAATGGTGGAAGCGCTCTAGCTTTGCATCGGAGCGTTTTCAGAGAAAACCGTTCGAAATTTCTGACCTTCATTGCCCGTTCAGTAGGTGGTATCCTTTGTGAGACGAAAGAACACTCGAGAAGTGAGATGAAGAGTGACAGACACACAGACAGACAATACAGACAGACCCAATGAAAAGCACTAAAGTGCAAACCCTCGGCGAAGTAGCTCGCAGAGAGTCTGACACGGGCCAGCTACAGTAGTAGATAGCACGCGAGAGTCGATACACGCCATTCGTTGTGACTTCTTGTGCCTTCAAGATAGAAGGAGCAAGCGGACCCGGTCCTTTGCTAATATAAGCGCATGCGCATTATCCGCCAGCGATAAAATGGCGTCTGACACTGGCTAGCTACAGTAGACTAGTAGATAGCATGTGGGAGTCGATACACGCCCTTGGTTGTGACTTCTCGTGCCTTCAAGATACACAGAGCAGGCGGACCCGAGCCTGTTCAAAATATAAGCGCATGCGCATTTTCCGCAGCGATAAAAATGGCCGACTAGCATTAGACGTACAATGGCGGAAGCGCTCTAGCTTTGCAACGAAGTATTTTCAGAGAAAACCGTTCAAGATTTCTGACCTTCATTGCCCGTTAGGTAGGTCGGTCGTATCGTTTGTGAGACGAACAGACATTCGAGAAGTGAGATTGAGAGTAACAGACAGACACACACAGACAAACAGTACCCTCGCTGCGCATGCGCGCCGAGGTTCATGCATGCGCAGCGAGGGTTAACAAGGGGCACAAGCAAAGACACACAAAGAGGCCAAGACTATAACGAAATTATCGGAATCTTTAACATACAACTCTCCCACATTGACTGGTGACCGACCCACTCTGTAACATTGTCGTCATTACACGACCACCATAATAATATCATTGCCAGTAATAGTTTGCGTGTGTAATTACATTGCCATAATTCACTCACCACCGCCGCGTATGTTGTGCATTCAGTGTAACCTCAATCATTAGGTTAATATAATTATACTTAACACTAATGGTTGGTGAGTGAAGTGAGATTACCAATAATTTTGTCTGAATGTAAGATCTTTACTACTGTACATCTAACGTTGCCGCCCATAGCGTATTAAATGACGACGTATGTGACTCTAAAAGAATGCAGGCTAATTTCGCAATCCTTGCTTCGCATGTGCCAGGTGCATATTATTTGCACCTGTGAGTCTCATGTGCTGGTTTGCCAATGTTCTACAAAACAATCGTGGGGCAGCAAAAGCACTAGGTTTATTCACCACATACGATTGACTCACATACTGTAAAGAAAAAAGGAAGAATAAAGAAGGGCGAGGAAGCCACTTACTTGTATCCAACGTAAACACACGGGCTAGCACACCTAGATAGACTCAAAAACTTGAGGAAAGCGGGAGTATAGCAGGACATAGTAGCTAACACAACAATATTTATAAACGAGTTTGTCAAAAGAGCATAAAATACATCGAGTATCCGACAGAACATGAGCAGCAATCACGTGGAGGACTATAGGACAGTAACATTAAAGACGTGGCCCCGGGCATAGTGCATGTCAGCCCTGGCCTTGGGTAATAAATATCCATCTTTGTGTCCACCGGTATAAACTCTACCAGTCACCTTGGTATTCCTTCTCTTGATGGCACCTATACTGCCCAAACCCAACACATATGACAGACACACACCTTGAGTCCAGAGCAACTGGACACAGTCTCATCAATATTATATAGATTGCTCACTTGGCTGATGCAGTGGTGACAAAATGGAGAGTTCAGTACACCTTCAGAGTGCAGTGGAATGTTAGACAAGCCACGGTTTTACATTTGTGGCTATCAAAACTGACGTTTGTACATTGTTGGGAGCCACTTAAATGCATTATCCTCTCACACACCCTATTAAAACTACAGTGTATATACTAATGTTAATCCGCAATATTTTATAGTGCAGCTGCAAAAAAACTCAGCCTCAGGCATATAATTATACACAACTACATCATTCTTTTACCATTACTCCAAACAAAGTTTCGGATGAGCATGTTACTTCTTCATCTCAATCTTCTCAAGCTCTTTCTCCGAGATGCTTGCCAAATTCAAAGTATACTGAGAACGTTTGTCACTTTCGTTTCAATTCGGGAGTCTCTGCCTGAACATGGGACGAAATAGACTCTAGTGGGCTCACGAACAGTGACAAAGCTGAAGGCAATCATCGTGAACTTGTGTCGTTTTTTGTGTGAACTCGGAATGGAGTTGGACTGCACCAGACATGGCCTACAGAGCCAGAGAGATAATAATAGACCATGCGACTACCTTTTATTGGAGCACAAACTACACACTACTGTGCTTCTGCTTTATACCAATCACCCCGTTTTTGTGGTACATTATGTTATATATAGAAACTACATCTTGTACTCAAACCTCGTTATCTGCATTCTGCGTTCGTTTTCTTGTGTGAACTCGGAATGGAGTGACTGCACCAGACATGACCTACAGCAGAGAGAGATAACAATAGACCTGCGGCTACCTTTTATTGGAGCACAAACTACACAACTTACTGGCTTCTGCTTTATACAATCACCCCGTTTTGTGTGTACATTATGTTATATATAGAAACTACATCTTGTACTCAAAACCTACGTTACCGCATTCTCTAGGTAGAGCCCCCTACTCACTGACCTTATAGAGCAGCTCAGCAGACAAGGGGTAAATTCTACAACACACTCTGTGCTATGGCCGAGTATAAACTCGCACTGTGTAGATTATAGCTATACTTCCGTTTTTGTTGTCACTCTGTGCTTAGGGCTAGGTGGGATAAGCCTCGTCTTGAACCAGCTGTAATATTATCTTAATTAAGCAAGGATTCTTCAGATGCATTCTGAAGCATGAACAGCAGAGTATAGAAATGTTGGTTGTCTGATTTTTAACCTCAATGTCACTTTGTCGAAATCGAGGAAACCTATCAGGCACTCCCTAGTATCCTCAACAACTGAGAGCTCTAACCGATCCCCGCTTGGTGTAGCAAGAACAAGTATCTTGACATTCAACCCACCGACAGCTGGGGACTTCGAAAATCTCTGTGGGATGATGACTACAACAGCACATGAAAAAGTATATCACAGTAGTACAAATGATTGCTCACTTTGTACGTGTGAATATACAAGGATGCACACATGTTGAAGAAAGTAGCTAACAGTGAATGTTCCAGCTGTCGCAGGCAATAGCTACCTTATGATTACAGCTAGAGGTTTGACTAGTTTATGTTTTACCAGTAATATGCGGCTTGCTTGCTACTTCATGGTTTCTCCAAATATTTCGATTGAGTGTCATCCAACGTCAGATTTTGTATCTATAGGGTCGTCTGGGTGTACGAGTAGTCATCGCTTACACCCAACTCAGGCTCGCTTCGCACCCTTGCTTCAATCCCTGTGGTATCGCGATAGTATGACTAGGTTTTGGCCACAAAGGAACTTATGATGAGAAGTATAACGGAAACACGAGAATAAATGCTCTGTAATATCCAGAGGCCCCTTTCGCATTATGTTGCCTTAGTATATATGTGCATCCAAGAAGAGAAGAAGAGATATATACACACAGCCTAATATAGTAAGATCAACGTCATAATATAATACTAGAAGCCCTCTTTCTCATGATTTGCATACAGACAAAGCTGTGCATGATGCTACAGCAGAGCACAGAGCAGAACGGGATACTATTAGCTAGCTAAACTATAGCTTACTTGTGAGTGCCGATGGGATTAGCCATGGCGACTCAGAATGACGCCTATTGCCAGAGAAGACATAGGCGCAACCACTATACTGAGGTGCAGAACAAACTGAAGGCGGCACCGATGTCACTAAAAACGTAGCTATGTGTGGAGCTAGTAGTAATAGCATTCACCCACTTATGATCATAGCTACTACATTAGTTACACTACGTATTATTTCCGCTGTAGCAGGCGCAGCGTCTAGTTTGAGGTGAAACACTGCTGCTGGGTACGTGTCGCGATCGGCGAACCGCACACGGAAATGCGCATGCGCAAACATTCCGCATTTGAAGATCCGCTCGCAGCTAGCTGAGATCAGCTCAAAAGCATCAGTCCAGGAAGAACGTGCGAACTAAACGAGAGCCGTGCGTTTACTTGACTCAATCCACACTCAATGCAGGTAAAATATATAACACTGAATTATATGCACACACACACAACACACGAGAAAAACGGTTGCTAGAAATACGACTGGTTCAGTACTGAGACTTGGCCTCCCTTCGACGTCTTCTGACGTACGCCATGATTGTAGGCGACAATATGAGGATGAGAGGAGAGCCAAAACTTACTCCGTTCCTTCCAATCTCTGCCCTTTTATTGCCGCCCACTGCAATTGGAACAAGATCTCTTGCCGTGCATATGAAGTCTTCAAGAACAGAGCGCTCTGAGAATGAGAGCAGAGGTGGAGAGGAGGGAAGGGTTAGTACACACTGACTAGAATTGGATTAAAGCTAAAGGCTTGTCCAAGGAGCATTACGTTTTGTGAGCAGTGACATGTATAGGGGATGAATAGACTTTAAACTACCATCATATTCTATTGCTAATTGTGTGAATACACGTCCAACTGGTGATTAACAGTAACAAATTACACTGTACGGATTTGAATTATTAAAAAGAACTCTGACTGCTAGCGTTGCGGATCTCCGACAAAGATGACAGATTTCTCCAGTGGACTCTGGAGCAGGAACTGGTGGTTGCTACTGTTTACGCACGGCCAACTGGACAGAGCTGTTTGGCAGACTGACTCGTGTTTGCACAAATCCATACGTCTTGCAGTTCTTGCAGTAGAAATACTCGCTGTCTTGGAACTTTCGCTTGAAGAGACGGCTGCTGTTGGCTGTGACATGCGCTGCAGTCCATCTGGGAATAGGGGAGGGACGCGCAATACTGTATGCACTACAAACTCTTAGAGATTACGGTGTTTCATTGAAACTCCGATAAGGGACTCTCGAGATTAGGACGACCTCTCTATATAACAAAAGGACACTTGTTTCAACCCCATGCTATATACGTAGTAGTGTATTATTTGACCTCCGAGATAGGGACAACCTACTCTACAAGGACACGTGTTTCACCCATGCTAATACGTTAGTGTATTATTTGACCTCTGAGATACAGGGACAACCTCTCTACAAAGGACACTTGTTTCAACCCCATGCTAATACGTTAGTGTATTATTTGACCTCCGAGATTGGGACGACCTCTCTATATACAAAGGACACTTGTTTCAACCCCATGCTAATACGTTAGTGTATTATTTGACCTCTGAGATACAGGGACAACCTCTCTACAAAGGACACTTGTTTCAACCCCATGCTAATACGTTAGTGTATTATTTGACCTCTGAGATACAGGGACAACCTCTCTACAAAGGACACTTGTTTCAACCCCATGCTAAAACTTTAGTGTATTATTTGACTTCTGAGATAGGGACAACCTCTCTACAAAGGACACTTGTTTCAACCCCATGCTAAAACTTTAGTGTATATTTGATACTGAGATAGGACAAACCTCTCTACAAAGGACACTTGTTTCAACCCCATGCTAATACTTTAGTGTATTATTTGACCTCCGAGATAGGGACACCTCTCTACAAGGGACACTTGTTCAACCCATGCTAAACTTTAGTGTATTATTGACCTCTGAGATAGGGACAAACCTCTCTACAAAGGACACTTGTTTCAACCCCATGCTATTTGACCTCGAGATAGGAAGGGACAAAATTGTTAGCCCCATAGTGTCCCTTGTTCAGAGGTTCCACTGATACATACAAAGCATAAGGCTCGCACTACTGCAAGGGAAGGATATAATTATACGTTTTGTAGCGTTGGTGAATTCGGTGGTGTGGAGATAGTAGACCAATGTTATTTCCTTCAGTTCCCACTCTCCTTTCCCCTGCATTGAGAGAAAAATCAAACTGGTAAAGTAAGAGCAACATGTAAGGGTAAGTAAGGAGGTTTTCCCTTCCCCCTATTTGGATGCTACTTGTACTACTGTCTCCTACCCAGACCCCGCAGGGTCTGGTGACTCAATTTCTTGTTGTGCTGACTCAACGGTCTTAGTTTTGAGACACAGAATCAGTTTTTGCAACCAGCGTTAAATTATCATATTATAATTACGCAAATACAGCTCTGTGAACTCTGCTTGTATACACATTGACTTTTTTTTGTGTATTTACATGAAAATGATGCGTCAGAGCAACCAAGAATACTAGGAAAAACCAGATACCTCACATACATGTCTCAACAACTTGGTAACGAGGTAGAAAGGCAAGGTAAGGCAAGGCAAACAAGTCAACTACACCCAGGACAGCTCTTTCTTTTCAAAGACATACATACATATGGTGGATGCACTACTGTGCAATGCTACCTACTGCAGGCGTACCCTCCAAATGTCATTCTAAGAGAGTTGTTCTGCCAGAGCAGCAGCAGCTCAGGCTCAGACTGGCTACAAGAGCCATTGACACTAACGCCATGTCTGTCTGGCAAATAGAGCCTCTTGTGGGGTGGCTGCACAGAGAAAAAAGGGGGGATTGCGAGTAACAAAGATTTGAACACAAAATATTGTCATATGTAAGGAAGAAAGGATGAATCCCGACAGACCACTTACGTACTATGTGTACATACGTTCACTTTAGGGGCCAGGGACGGGGACTCACCCCTTGCTCATATCTTACCACCGGAGTCTAAACACATGGAAAAGGTGCTCCGCCCCCCCTATTTTTAAAACCAACAAACACAGTTTTGCCCCTCCTATATTATCTTATTATTGTCAAGACCTTCCATCGTTGTTATATCGCTGTGTAGTTACAAGTCTTGCACGTACCTGAGAGTCTGTTTCGGCGTTATCGAAAAATATGTCGAAGGATATTTTGAATGAGCCATACACACAAATTTGGTCGTTCTCCTCATACTGATAGACATACTGACTGTGGTGTATCCTTGGACGGCCACAGTTTACTGCAGAAAGGAGGAGGAGAGAGAGAAACAAGACGTAAGGAAGGAAGGGAGAAAAATCAGTGGGAATTGGAAGGGAGAGAGAGAGGGAGAGGAGAGAGGAAAAGAGGAAAAGAAGAGAGAAGTAATGTGTCACACCGAATATTGCATATTACACACTCTCAATGTTCTAAGTGCACGCAAAACACTGTCCAACGCTTCTGGCACTACATGAGGACAAATATTGACGCACACTTCAGCTCGTGTCTTCCAGCAACCAGAACTGCATAGGCACAAGCTGCTACAACCCCTCATAAACCACTTGCATACGTTTTGCAGTCGCGAGAAAAACTATTACCCAATCATGCATAATGTAGACATTATACTCATACAGCAATCATTATACTGTCGCTATACGCTGTCACGGCTGCTATATACTGTATGAAGGCGGTTGGACCTTCGCGCGCACCTTTAATACGACGTTCTCACGCACATCTAATACCTCGGACTCCATATATGAATCTGAAGGCTATCTATTACTATGGACCTGGAGAGGCGAGCCACAAGAGAACAGTAGTAGTGGCCAACACGACCAGCAGAATGGCTCCGCTCATTCTTGTCGGTAGAGAGAGGATCGTAGAGGGACACAATTGCAATCTCACTGCCGATCAAGAGAGTGTTGGGCCTGCACAGAAAACCAGTCAAACGTCAAAATCAGTGTCTCTCTGGTAATTTATCACATGATGGTTCGGTGAATATCATGTGACAAGAGCACGTGATTTGCGCATGCGCGCGCTATTGTTGTTATACGCGCGCGTGCGGTAATAAGAGTGTTACACATGCGTAAAAGCCGAAACACATGTCAGCGTGTGTTGTTGGATAGCATAATAGTCGCTGCCACAGTTGTGTTGGAGCCTAGCAGCGAGTAGCTAGGAACTAGGACAGTATCTTCAGAGTTACAACTGCCCCTTCCACCTGCTTTCCCGACTTTGGCAGAGATGACTCTAAATAATGAGCAACTTCGAGTAAGTTCACTACGTACTACAATTCTACTTTATGATACGTGTGCTCCGTCTGTTTTGCAGCTGGGCATCATTGATAAACTGAAAGAGTGCAATGCCTATATCGGTGAGAAAGTCTGGACCTAGTTCTGCATCAGTTCTTTCTTCAGACATTCTCGTCTGCCTTCTTTTTCTTCTCTAACCTTTTCACTTTCTCCTCTTTCTCCACCTCTTCTTCTCTGCTCCCGCTCCCTTTCTTTTCCACTACCCTCTTGTACCTATTGCTTACTTCCCTTCTATCTTCATTCTCCTCTCTCCCTCCCCTCTCCCTCCTCTCCTTTCCTCCCCTCTCCCTCCCCCTTGTCCCACTAGATAATGAGCTCCCAGACTACATTATGGTGATGTTGGTGAACAAGAAGACATTCCATCAGATCAGTAACGACCTGCAGCTATTCCTTGGAGACGACACCTCCAATTTCATTGACTGGCTACAGGAGGCGGTGGATAATGGAGGCACTGTGCCCGTGAAAACTAAGACATCCTCAGGTTAGAATTATGATGATGTGAGAGTACATAACACATCACTTTCTTAACTCCAGTTATATACAGTTGCATAGCTACCATGCACACGTACAAACAAACGCCAACTGCCATTGTCACATGAACCATCATGTGATATAAATACCATGAGAAGTTGTATTTGCTCATTTCCGGCGAGCGTGCATATCGAGGGTTACGGTACTTGGTAGTTTTAGTGTGTCGGTCAGTGGGAATGCTTGTGTATACATACATACATACACATCTTAAACAGTACGTTTGCACGGAGTATCCTTGACTTTTGCTTGTCTACACACAAGTGTACCTGCAAATTAACATGTCCCAATTTAGCTCTTATGATATTATAATGTTACGGCAACATTCCCTTCAACTGTCACCAACTCATTTCATCAGAACCCAATGAAAAGGAGGGAGAGCACGCTAGGACAAAGAGTGACTCAAAAACTGACGACGCAGGACGCGAAGAGACCGCCCACATCTCTGAGGACTCTCCGGGCGAATCCGGCTCAAAGAGAAGTGGAAGCAAGCAACGAAGCAAGAGCGAAGACGAGCTCGAGCTTCACCCAGCGCTGGATTGGGAGGAAGAGAGGGAGGGAGGGAGGAGGGGGGAAGGGGGGAGGGGGAAACCCTCTAAGCACAGGGGCGGTGGTGTGTCGGAGGGGAAGTCAGCAAGGAAGGGGAGTGGAGAGGTGAAAGTTGCTAGGGCGACGGAAGGAGAGAGAGAGGAGAGGGAGGAAGGGAAAGAGAGGAAGAAGAGGGGGAGAGGGACTGTGGAGGGAGGGGGGAAGGTGGAAGAAGATATTGATGAGTCCATTGTCAAACCAACTCGCCCCATCAAAGTAAGTTACGCAATGCATTGTCCCACAGATGTACAACATAGATACACTATGTCTGCATGTTTGTTTCTGCACCAGGTCAAGCACTTTATCTCAGCATGAAATTATAGTTCATAGCAATTCCATGTTTTACTTAAATTTGTCCTGCAGCTATCTAAGAGTGATGATCTTAGGGTTCTCATAGCTCGTAAGAAAGGTGAAAGGTCGGCTCCACCCACCTACCTGTCTGGCAGGCGCTACTCTCACAGTGGAAGTGAAGGAGAGGAGGGAGAAGAGGAAGAGGAGGAGTTTGAGAGGGGAAGAGGGAGAGAGGGAGGAAGAAGGGGAGGGCTGTCTAGTGTTGTGAAAATACCAGAAAGGTGGGTTTTATGCGTATGTACTTCTCCATAACCTTCCGCTTTAAATAGTGTATGTATGTAAGCACACATGTTAGTCTATCACATCTGATGTAAATCTGGTCATCTAGTAACACAGGGGAAGGCTGAGATGCATTTAGCCAAGTCTCACAGAAGCACAGTATGCTAGCAATAGCATGGATATAGGTTACTTCAACAGTGTTGGTGCACATGTTACAATGTGTTCACGGTGTGTAATGTGTGGTGCAGGACTCACTTGTCTATAGAAGGAGGTAGTAGATTACTGGCAAGAGCTATCAAAGGACTGGCTGCTCCACCTCTGAAACAGTTCCGTCGTCACGATCACTCCAGGGAGAGGGGGAGGAGGGGAGGGAGGGAGGAGAGGGAGAGGGAGGGTAGAGGAAGAAGGGAGCTGGCCGGAACTCGTGACAGAAAGCAAAAGACAAGAGAAACGCACGGTGAGTGGATACATTCATACCATTTTTTTACGAATGCACAGTGCCCTTTTTTCATGAAAGGTGAATCATGCTTTTTTTTCCCTATATAGTTAATTTCAGAAAATGAAAAGCACTAAAGTGCAAACCTCGGTGGAACTGCGATGTGCGGTATATAGAGACCCATAAAATTGCTGGCTGCGGCTGTATGCGTTTACTCGTGGCTCACCGACTCGCGGACCACCGTGAGTAGCTCGCAGAGATGTCTGGACTACCGTAGTAGATAGCACGCAGGAGTGGATACACGCATTCGTTGTGACTTCTTGTGCCTTCAAGATAGACAGAGCAAGCGGACCGGTCTGGTGCTAAAATTAAGCGCATGCGCATTAGCCGCCAGCAGATAAAATGGACGACTACGGCATTAGCCATACAATGCTGGAAGCAGCTCTTCTAGCTTTGCAACGGAGCCATTTTCAGCGAAAAACCCCTACCAAATTCTAGACTCACTTGCCGTGAGTAGGTCATATCGTTTGTGAGCCGACAAAACATTCGAAAGTGAGATGTAGAGTAACAGACACACACACACACACACACCCACTACAGTACCCTCGCTGCGCATGCGCGCCGAGGGTAATGAAAAGCACTCAAGTGTAAACACTCTAAAAATACTGCCCAATATTAACTAAATGTTATGCACCATTTCATGTTTGTTCGCCAAAAACCGTAATTTATAAGGTTGAAAAAAGGCCAGCCCTGTCTATGGACGCAGTGCAAATGCTTTTAAACATTACTGCCCATGCAGAAAAAATTATGGACAGTTACAACTTTGAAATAGATTGTGTTAGCCAAAAACCAAACTACAAGGTTGAAAAAAAAATTTCTAATAAAAAAAAATCAGCCCTTCATCTCTCCAGACAGACGTCTACGGACGCAGTGCAATGCCGAACTGTACGCTGCCCTTTGAGAAACATGGTTCAGTGGTAGATATGTGGGTAAGGGGAGGAACCAGAGCTGTTCCCAGCCAATGCTCTGGACCACCTGACACTTTAGTGCGGATCAAGGATTCGAACCGGGCACCTATGGTGTCAGTCCCCACGACTCTAACCACCTAGCCACTCGGGCTGGCAGGAGAGGTGGTGAAAAACGTTCCTCTTATACCCAATAGTCATATAAGAAAAAGATAAAAAGATGCGCAGACGGGGATCGAACCACTGACCTTGGGATCCAGTGTGTGTGTCCTTATCCATCAGACCACACCCAGTACTTGTGAAGGAAATGTTGAATAATGTATTATATTCTCACACTTTTTATGGCCAACTACTACTTCATTTCCACCTATATACTCCAGGCTATATATTACATGTATGTATAATTGTGTGTGTTTCTGGTGCAGATAATTATTGCAAAGACAAAACCCATGCAGTGCTACCACTGCAACCATGCAATGCAGGAAAAAAGCGCAGTTAATTGGTGGGCTGGCCTACGCCACACAGCAATGTCATTATTTATGACTGGCTTGCAGCATAAAGTGACTCGATATGTACTACATACTGTAGATTCTTCATTTCAAGGATGTAATTGTTCTTATAGAGAGAGGGGTTCTGCTGGCCTTTTCTTGTGACTTGATCATTGTCGTTTCTTTGTGGCTGCAGTTGAGGTAGTTTCAAGAGTGAAGCGAGCAGTGGTAGAGGAAGAAGAAGAGATTCGGGAGATTGGGGAGGAAATTGAGGGGCGAGGGGAGATGGAGGAGGAGGGAGGTGGGGGTGAGGCGAATGTAAAAGAAGATGATGCTATCCTGCCGGTTAGTCAAGCTGCATCTGAGCTGTGTGTATGCATATACATGCATTTCGGAGAGGGCTATTAACTCTGTCCTAATGTCTCATATCCTTACACATTATTATTGAGTGGAGAAGACCAATATAATAATATTCAATGTTAGTAGACATCTTTTTCTTCTTCATATACATGCAGCTGAAAGTAGAAGGAGAACCCAGTGAGAAGATAGAGGAAAGAGCCGTCTCAGATGAAACCACTAGAAAGGTTAAACACTTACGTAACAGTTGGTAACAAGAAGATGTACTGTATGCCTAGTATATACACAGACAGAAAGTCGTTCATAACCCCATCCCTACATCTGTATGTGCTTACATCATTACCCATCCCTGTATATACGTCTTGGTTGTTGATGTAAATATTTATTTTCCTGCTGTGTAAAGTATGTACTTATCGTGCATTTACAGGCAAGAGATGTACATAAGAATAGGGTTATGAATGACTTTCTGTGTCTGCGTAGGCATCTTCTTGTTTCCCTTGTTTTTCATGATGTGACATCCTTACAAATTTAGAGTAATTATTTTCCTATGCATGATATCTAGCCATACAAATATTATAATGAAATAAAGAACCACCACCACCACCCATTACACACAGATACACACACAATAAGTAAGACACATAGAAATACATATAAAACTGTACACATCAGGTTGAGTTGGCAGTGATAACAGCTCTGAGGAAGGTCCTCCCGGGGCAGAAGGAACTGACTGATCTGAGGCAACTCATCAACCAACAGAGAGAGTCCAAAACCTCCACCGACACCCACAGTGCCACCAAGAAACAACAGGAGTGAGTGAGGCACTGGCTTTGTCCTATAGGACGAGTGCTTGCTGTATCCTGTAGGACAAACACTGGTGTTGTCCTGTAGGACGAACACTGCGTTGCTTTATCCTGTAGGACAAACACTGGTGTTGTCCTGTAGGACAAACACTGGCGTTGTCCTATAGGACGAACACTGGCGTTGTCCTGTAGGACGAACACTGGCGTTGTCCTGTAGGACGAACACTGGCGTTGTCCTGTAGGACAAACACTGGCGTTGTCCTATAGGACGAACACTGGCGTTGTCCTGTAGGACAAACACTGGCGTTGTCCTATAGGACGAACACTAGCGTTGTTGTCCTATAGGGCCAATACTGGCTTCTGGCTTTGTCCCACGGTACTGACTTTGTCCTATAGGACATCTAGCTGCAAGCTGTACAGTATGAGTATATGACAATTTGTCCTAGTATGTCTCTGGTCCTACACAATGGCATTGCAATTACTTTGTCCTATAACAGCTAGTGTTGTCTGTATACTAGTAGGCGAATGCATGGTTTTTTTTGCCACTCCCGCTCGCCAAATATTATGTTTGAAAGTTGTAGTGTTGTATCCTGTACAACAGCGTTCTCCTACGTTTGGAGAATAGAGAGTAGTAGGCATTGTTCTTTGTCCTATAGGACAGTATCTGACAGTTTGTCCTGTAGGACACATTTCGTGGTGACAATGGACGGACTGGATGAGGGTTATAATGTAGAGCGAGAGGGGGAGGAGCGAGAGGGAGAGGAGGAGGAGGAGCAAAAGGAGGAGAGAGGGAGCTCGCAGAAGACACAAGGAGCAGTGGAAGGTGTATATAATGTAGTGTGACTGAGTTGTGACTGAGTTGTGATATATGTATATAGCACCCTACTGTACGTGAGGTCTGGTTGTACTGGCACCAAACTCTTGTCTGAATTGCACTCAGCAGTGGAGTTTGTGTGTCAGTACATCAAACAACCAGACTTCACACAAGGTACTGTATGTAGTGCTATATGTAGTGCTATATGTAGTGCTGTAGTGCTATATGTAGTGCTGTATGTAGTGCTATATGTAGTGCTATATGTAGTGCTGTATGTAGTGCTATATGTAGTGCTGTATGTAGTGCTGTATGTAGTGCTGTATGTAGTGCTGTATGTAGTGCTGTAGTAGTGCTATATGTGTACATCACACGTGTGCAACATACAGCACTACATATATACAGTATATACTTTGCAGGTAATAGTTTAAAGATTGTGTTCACTGTTTTACCATTCACTGCAGCCTCTCGTAAGCAAAATGAGTGTTCCTTAGCAAGGCATCGTAGAGTTGGTTACTGGGTGTAGTATAGGCAAGCAAACGTCAAGTGGTACATGTGCAGTACATGTGGTACTGCCAATAGTTGTTTTCATACATAACAACCTCATTCTAGTGTTAAATTCCACTTTAGTTGGAGTAGAAAATGCACAGCTTCCCAAAGAATGTGCCACATTTCCTAATTGAAACTACCTCACTAGTCAACCATCAAATCTGCAATTATTAGTAAGGAAATTCTAGGAGAACCCTAATTCAGAGTTAGATACAACATCCTGCATGATTTTTCAAAAAGGAAGTGCCTCAGGATGCATGCTAGAGTTTCGACTTTGTGTAATCAACTCCCAAAGTGCATTGGGTGGGATTTGCAATGTGTAAACCTTCACCTCTACAAGACCCTGCCGAGATTATGACAGCACAATACAGACCTTTTTATTGCTGTGTGTAATGTGAGAACTATCTGTTTGGTTGAGACCAGCTGGTGGTTGAGAATGATAGAAGTACACCAGTCAGGAGGGAAAGACAGAGAACCAACTTCTTTTGGGAGTTAAACTTTGTGTCATGACACTGGAAGTGTATAGTGAACTATATACCTGTGCCATCCCTTATATACTACTGTACTACCGTACTTAGTGATACTGAGCTACAGCTCCTAGACAAAACCAAAGATTCGGTCAAAGTTCTTAGTTACTCCACGTGGCACTGGCATGTCAGCAACAGGGTTTGAAAGTGGTGTCCTTGCAGCAGGGGAGGCACCAGTTCGAGGAGGAGGGAGCGGTATGCCGGAGAGGTGTCGTTTCTGGCCCAACTGTAAGAAAGCCGACTCTTGCCCCTTTCACCACCCTTCTGCCAAGTGCAGGTACAGATACATATTTACATACACCAGTATTCGGACACTAATTGGACTGAAGAAAGTGTTTTAGTGAGCTGTCCTTTTTAGGGGTTAAGTTGCATCCAAGAACTGTTCTTGGGGGGAAAAGTGTCCTTGTTAGAGAGGGGTCCTCATTTCAGGGGCAGAGTTGTAGAAGTGGCCTAATTATCAGATAGTGGATAGTGTATATAGTATGAAGTAGAGCCATTTTTCAGAATTTCACTATACTGCCAACAAGTTATACATGTATGTATACAGTTTTTCTTCATGGTGGAAGAGGCTGTATTGCTATTCTCTGTTTGTCTTTGCAGGATGTTCCCCAACTGTAAGTATGGAAACAAGTGTCTCTTCATTCATCCTCAGTGCAAGTTTGATTCGAGGTCTGATCCACAAACACTCTCTCTGTCTTCTCTTTCATTGTGGATTATTAGCCTCGTCGCTACCCACAAGGGTCTGGCGACGTTGGAGCAGTTTTTTTATGGCTGAATCAGTATCGTCACATGTTATCCGCGTGCTCTGCCGGTAGAATGCAATGTGCATAATTACTGCACTACGATTGGTTAGTGGTCATGTGACTGCCGAATCAGCACAAATCAGCTCCAATGTCATCGGAATTTGCGAAGACAAAACCACGATGTATAATACATGTATGTGATGTGTTCTGTTGCTATATTATACAGGTGTACCAGGTCTGACTGCCCATATCTTCATACTGCACCCAGACACGTCCTACCTAGAGGTACACATATAGTACAATGATCAAGTTCCTTATTGACCACTATACACATTACCACAGCTGCTTCTGCTACAGCTCCACCCTTTGCCCCCCCTGCCTTCCCTCCTGCCATGATGAAGGTTAGCTCTGATAACCAACACAGCCGTCATAGGCCTGTTGCGTGTCTTTATAGCTCTTCAATTCTGCTCTTCACATTAACGTGTTTCTGTGTTACGATTTGACTTTGCCTTGTGTTGTGTTATTGCTTGCTGGGCCATGGGGATCTGATGTATAATGTATTAGCGCCTAGTATACTTATGGAGTCTCTGGGCACATTTATGTGTGGGTGGCTGGTTAAGTGTTAATTCTCTTTCCTCCATAATACGTATGTACTAGTTCCCAGCTCCAGTGAAATCCATGTGGTCACCTCGGACCAAGTTCCCCAGTAAATCAGCTCTCACTTGGACCCCTGCCAGCAAGACCTCTCCTACTTCACACACCAGGTATTATACGTATATACATAGATTGACAATCACCATTACATAAGAGATGAGTGGCATATTATAGCATGGCTGCCCTAATTGTCCTACTAAAGCTATACAGTGTATTCTGCCGCACACACCGCACACACACACACGCACGCACGCACGCACTGAGCCTTCTTCTCTTGTATTCCTTATAGTCAGAGGAAGTTTGCAGTTCCAGAGGAAGACACAACCTCCATATAAGTCAATTGAACAAACTCCAGTGACCCACTTTTGAATAATAGGCACTAATACTAATTGCGAAGTGGTATCGTAACTTATCTCATTACATGTTTCTACAATGTTTCGCTTTTTCTTGCCTATATATGAAAGTCATATATACTTGTTGTGAAGCAGAAGGTGGTGGTTTTCCACAGTTTGAATTTGAACTGCATTCACAGACTTTGCAGTTTTCACACATGCTTCAGGCCTATGTATACCTAGTGAGGTAGCTGGTGAAAAAGCAGTGCTTATACAATGCACACTTTTTACAGTACATGGTTAGCATGAGGCTGAGCACTAACTAGATGGAGGTGACTCAACACTAAACCAGCCGCAGACACACAAAATGTGTCCAGCTATAGTCCATAAGATAAGTCGGGAGACTAAAGGGACCGAAACCTGTGTCCTACACGATGATCTGCCGAGGAGCTCCCCTGATGACTTGTGCATGAACGTAGGCTAAACTACACGTGACACTAGAACATCGCGTGACCTGTAGGGCCTTCCGGTTCGTGGGCATGGGGTGGGGGCGGGACTTCGGTGTATCAGGCATTCAGAAAGCCAATGCATGTGGCCGCGGAGGAGGGCCTCTCAATCCCTAGCACTCTTCTTTCTCTTCCCCCATGCAAACACACAAAATGTGTCCATACCATAAGAATTTATATGGGAGTTATAATACTAGGCACTAATACTCATGGCATCCAAAGGGAGATGGAGAAGGAAACATGGGAATATATATACTGCAAGGGGACACTTATATGTGGATATAAATTATGCATCAGCAACTTTAAAGCATGGAGTATAATATTTTATTTTATACTTCTGCGCTTCATTTTGTCTTTGCCGGACGTGTTATTAAATTAGGTGCCCTTTCTTGCACTGCAGGTGACTTTTTGTCACTTGTCAGACTTGGTTATTTTATCATCATCAGGTGAGAAATATATACCACAATGGAACACACAGTTGAATTCATGCAAGTCAAAGAGCATAACGATTATTAAAGAGACTAAAAGACAAGTACAAAAATTAATGGTGCATGATATTTATATACACCGTTACTACAGTAGGATTACCACACATTATATAATAAGTAAAATACACAGGCTATTGCGAAAGACGTACGGTGCGTGAAAAAAATAATTGTCTACATACATACGATAATGAGTAAGCGAAAGGAATGAATTAGTCCTCGAAAGAGGCAAATAATATTAGGAAAAACGAAAACAGTTCCCTATGACAATATCGAAGTTTCCGAGGCGACGAGTAAGACCAAACGAGAGCAGTGGGTGTGGTTATGGGCGGAGCTGCTGCTACTGGTTGGGTGGCGGGGTGTCTTCGGAGACCAGAATGTAGATGTTGCTGGGAGATGTTGGTTCTTCTGCCGGTCGAGTCTCTATCACAATCGTCCTACAAATCCACAGATTATTAGTCATCTATGTAGCTACAAAACCACATTGCCTGTTGTAACTACTGGTATCTTTCAGAATGATATGTAAGTGGTGTGTTTGGGCTCTAACTAAATTGTAGGTGCTGCTGCTGATCCCCTTGTTATATACTTCATTTAGACTAAGTTTGGAGTCACGAAAAATGTTGTTGGTTACCCAATGCCGTGAGAAAACCATGGGTTACGAGCTAAGAACAAAGGGAAAATGCTGACCAGCACATTTCGAGACTCAAAAAGTGTTAAATGATGATCCTTCTTTACAAAATAGTGAATCAACAACGTTCTCCCACTTTTCCTGCTGCTCCCAACTTAAACCTCAAGGTGCCTTGCAGACTACCGACTTAGGCCAAGCTTCACGTGTGCAACCCATGAGGCTAGGAGGTTTACAATCTGCAGTAGCTATCTGTCATACCCGTAAGAGCCCAGCAAATGGAACACTTTTGAGCCATCTGCTACTTCCGCTGTCACCTAAAGAGAAGATAAAGTAACGGTTGCAGTTGGAAAGAGAGAGAGAGAGAGATGTGGCCACTAACTTGTTGGGTGGCGAGTGATTTTCCCTGCATCCCGTGTCTGTGGAAACTCAGCACACAGTTTGATAGAAACACTGCAACCGAGGAACGCATCACACGGCATTACATACACTTTTGACTAGTTGCTGCTTTAGAATTTCACGGAGGTGCCACTATTCACCAATCTCACTCCTCGCTGGAAGACACGGATTGCTTATGGTGCACAAGCTTAGACCACAGACCTATAGGTAGACTTGTTTACTACAGACGACTGTGGAGTTGCATGCATCGCAAGGCAAGAGCAGAGCAAACAACATTTTCAAAAATACCCAGGAATACCCAGCCCAGTTGTTTTTCCTGAGGAGAAAAGAGTTGGACTAAAAACCCAAGACACTCTAAATTTCGAGACTTACACTATAATCACATACATTTGCCAAGAGTATGTATGTACATCCTAATTAGCTCAGGGTCTTACCCATGTGTTCTGAAGTCTTGTCGAATGTAATGTGAGAGGCCTGAATGGTGCTTGGTTTCAGCTGTCCATTCCGGCCCACAAACTTTGCAGCACCTGATACTTGGTCAAGGAGAAACCATCTCTACTATTAGCTATGACATCACTATGACATCACTATCAATGTCATACATAGTGTGTATACATCTGTTAACATCTCTGATCTTTGTGTGTAATACTCGTCCACTTGCACTGATGTCTATGTAAGCATAATCACTCAGTTCAAAGCTACACAAAGTAAACAACAACAGCAGATCCAAGTAAACAACAACACAAAAGCTGTAGTATAAGTAAACAACAACAACACACAAGCTGGTCCAAGTAACAACATCACAAAAGCTAGTTCAAGTAAACAACAACACAAAAGCTAGTTCAAGTAAACAACAACACAAAAGCTGTAGTATAAGTAAACAACAACACAAAAGCTGTAGTATAAGTAAACAACAACACACAAGCTGGTCCAAGTAAACAACAACACGTTCCAGTCTGCTGCTCGCTGAAGAGCCAGTACCCAGTCCTCGAAGAGAACATCAGGCGACCAACAACACAAAAGCTGGTCCAAGTAAAACAACACAACACACAAGATGGTGTAAGTAGCTAACAAGTAAACTAGAGAGGGGAGGAGGGATACGTTCCAGGCCAATGAAGATGGTGTCCTTCTCTAGCTGCTGTAGACAGAGGACGCGCAGTGACTTCCCATCAGGTTGGTCTGCGTACCAGCTGGCCTGGGAGTTGAGGTTGAGGGTGTCAAATAGAGTTGTCCCTTCAGGGCTGGGGAAAGGTGAAAGGTCAAAGAGAGGAAGGAAGAATGGAGGGAGATGTAAGGTAGGAGACATCATAAAAAGCTTTCCCTTTGGAAAGACAACAAAACATTAACAAAAACACACTGTTAAAGCACTTAGTGAAAAAGTGCAATCATTATTACGTACAAGTAATACTGATGAGGGCTTCATTACTTATACTATGTACATAAAAGGACAAAAAGGTTACCATTCAGTCTAAGTGTGAAAACAGTAAGGTGTACATTGCAGTAGGGTAACGTGAGACATGGAACAGACCTCTCCTTCACTCCGAGGACAACGATAGGGTACTCCTCATTCTCCACCACATAGGCCTCCAGGAGGTTGAGTGGCAGAGGAGTCTGACACTCAAACAACTGCAGTGGACACAGGAGGAGACAAACACTCAGAGAACTGATGTATATACACAGTATACAGCTGCTTCACCTATATACAGTTCTGATGTTACACACTGCATCATGTATAATATATGTCCATTACAAAACAAATATTGAGCAAGCTTAACATTCAACTTCTTTAAGTTCACTCCTATACTAACTACACCAATCAACAGCAGAGGACTACACTCCAAAGGTCTATGGTAACAGTTCAGGTAACCGGGGAGCTCCTGTTTGCCAGCAGCAAAATGTGCAGCTCGACGCCGTGTTCGGGGATCCCCGAAATCAAGGCCTTGTATACATAATTATAGGCAGCGGATTGACTACAGGCACAGAAAGTTTAAGCATTTCAGAGTAGCAACACTTGGCACACTTTTGTCCCAAGCTGCTCAAGGTTCAGATGTTTTAAGTAATTATTATAGGAAGCTAGTAGTATAATATATAAATTCTTATGAACTTATGGAGGCTCTGGACACATTAATACATATGTGCCAGTGGCTGGTTAAGTGTTAAGTAAAGAGTGAAGTTATAATTATTATAGGAAAGCTGGATAGAATGGTGCGTACCATGACATGCATGAAGGCGTGCCTTGGCTGGAACCACTGCAGCAGTAGAATTCCTCTGGGAACTACTGCTATCAGGTATCTCTGATCTGTGAACGGATTCCGGGCTACAGGAGAGAGGGAGATGTACGTAACTGAATGAGGAACATAGTGGAACCATAGACTAAAGAGGAAAGACAGACAGACAGACATACAGACAGGCAGGCAGGCAGACAGACAGACAGGCAGGCAGACAGACAGACAGACAGACAGACAGGCAGACATACAGGCAGACAGGCAGCGGCAACTAGAAAAAGAACATGGGGTCTAGCTAACACTATAGACATGTTGGCTATTTCAGAATGTAAATGTTTCGCAAGGCAGCATCAGAACCTCAGTATTTTCTCAATCACAGAACAGAGTGCCTCTGATGTCCCTATACTGACATCATCATCTGCCACCTCCAGTATAAGTACAACCCAGTACAACACTCTATAGCAATGCCAGTTTATACAGTATGTAGTATTACCGATGCAGCATTTGATGCAGCCTTTGGAGTCAGCAATCTTTGTAGTGTGTTGCCTGCTCCTGATACACACACATAAAAAAGAATAATAAAAACAAAGCTGGTCAGCTCACACAAGTGTTTTGCGGATTATCATAACAAATGGTGCAGTTGCAATGCATGTCTCAACAACTTGGTAACGAGGTAGAAAGGCAAGGCAAACAAGTCAACTATACCCAGGACAGCTTTTTTTCAAAGAAAAGAAGAAGAGCTGCCCTGGGTGGGATTCGAACCCATGACACTCTGCAGTCTAGGCGAGAGCTCTACCAACTGAGCTACCAGGGCAACTCAGCTGGTAGGGGTTCGAATCTACAACACAACACAACACAAGGCAAACTGTTCTACATGTATATAATAATACATGTACAGTATGTACACTATAACAGGCCAACAGACCTGTGTTGAAGAGAGGCCTGGGCTGATTCAGATCGGAACAAGAGAATCAGATTTGTCATGGACACAATTCGGTTGCTCCCTACAATACAGCACATCATACAGATCAACACTTCACCTTTCAGCACCAGTACATATACACAAAACACAGCTGTAAATCATGAACATTAAAAGCCATATGCTCACAGTGGACTTTGAAAGCACAAGGATCAATCTACTAAATTGGCAAGTTTTCCCTCTCAAAGGTGGCTACAATTTTCTTCCTGTATGGGAACTTGAACCAAACCTTACACTCTATATACTTCTTACGTATATAGATGTAGGGAGAATGTGCCCTTATTGCATTTTTACTGCTGGGCCAACCCATTGTAAGAGAGGTAATTATATAAAGGAAAGGGGTGTGGCTTACTTCCAGAGAGCCAGATCATAGAGTTTTCTACCACACGAATCCAGTGGCATGGCCTGGAGGAGACCTAGTGAGTGGAGAGAGGGGGAGAGGGGGGAGAGGGGGGAGGAGTGACAGAAGCAAAGCAAGGAAGATAGGGGGAAAGTATGTGAGTGAAAACATGTTAAAACGCCAACAAAACGTTATAAATTATGACCTAGTATAATATGTACATGTATGGTGCTGCCTTAGTCTTAGTGTAGTAATATACCTGTTCCATGACCGGGTCAGGGTTATTGGTGACCAGTAGAGAGAAGAGTCCTTCCTCTGCTCCAAACAACACATATTGCACTGTGACATAACACACACACAGTAACAGAGATCTGTGTACACATCTGAATTGTGCATTAGTATACGTCTGAATTGCGCATTAAA